CCTACTATCAAATAACCAATAAAGTTTCAGCTGATGGCATTTGTATAAAGTAAAAAAAAAAAAAAAAAAAAAAAAAATATCTGAGTAAAGGTTTGAGTTTAATTTAGAGATTTCTTTATCTTAAACTTCTTTGATATCTTCTATTATATTATCACTTTTTTTGCTTCTTTCACTCACTAAAAGTTGTTCTTCTAATAAAGCTTGTTCTTCTTTTGAGCTATTATCTATCTCTAAGAAATTCGTTTGATCTATTATTTCTATATCTAATTTGTTTTCACTCTTCTATGTTATTAATTCATCTTCTTTTACTATTATATCTTGGGTTTTTTATCCTAAAACTATTTTAAATCTATCGATTCCTTCTGTCATTGCTACTCTCTCTATTACTTTTCTTCATTCTCTTGCTACTATTACTATATTACTTTCTATTTCTAGTATCTCTACAATTATTTTATCATATAGTCTTCTAGACCCATTACTACATCACTTTTTTTTACTATTATTTCTTTGCTATATTCTTTTATTGCTACTTCAACTAATCTTGTTGCCTTTGATTTGTTCTATATATTTTAAATTCTTTTTTTTTTTTTGTTATTAAGACCACTTCCTTGGCTGATTAGATTTTTATTAGTTTGTTATTACAGTACTATCACATGAACAGTTTTCTAAGGTTTTACAGTTACATAATGAGTATACAACAAGCTATATATACAACTTTAGTCATTATCTAATTTAAGTAGTTCGCCATACAGATGATCAATTATCTGTTGGTTCTACACTATGCTGCTATACCTGCAACCTGCCTGTGAGTTACCTATTTAAATACTCTGATCATTAACTCTTCTCCTATCTCAAACTAACGTCACCACTATGACCAATCAGTTACACTAGCTGGTTCACTCACAGATCCATTTCTTTGTATAGCTTAGGTCCTCTTAGAATATATATGCCTAACATATTGTGAGCTACAGAGCTCCAGTTAACCTCATAAGTATTTCCTACCAGAGTGGTCATATGCCTATTTTACAGATTCACTTGAATTAGACCCTTGTCGATATTTATACAAACCTAGTTTCTGCTGTAACCATCCACCAGATATAGTCCTTCAAGTTTCAGCTAGATGTTTCACAAAATAGATCCTCCCAATCTAGTTAGCTGCCAAGCCAAGTTGATGTTGCCGCTAATGCAAGGCACCAGGCTGTGTTATACAGCAGACTTACTCGCATCTATTGATCTCACATTCTTCATACTCAGGTTTTTCACTAAATCAGGTGTTAATCAGCTTGACTATCAAAATCCGTATTACTTTACCAAACTCGAGATTTCTACTATACAGGTTCCCTGCCTGTAGATCCTATCAAGATTTATTCATATAATATAACTTGAGCATTGTGTCATATTTCCAATATCTGATTGACATTGGTGCAATGTGATTTACAGGATTGTAACCTCTAGAAATGGGCAAAGTTTATCGTAAGTTAGGTACAAAGATCTAGATAATTATTCAAATTCGTCAACAGTGGGATTTGAACCTCAGATCTCTTACATTGGGTCTGGCAATCTAACCACTACACTAAAATTGCTAGACCTCCATATATTTTAAATTCTATATTCTATTAGCTTCTTCTATTCTTATGTATCTGTTCTTTTCTTGTTTCTATATATATTGTGTTTCGATATGACTTTGCTTTTTTTTAGAAATTTTCCTGAAATTTGTCCTATTTGCCAGTAATCTTTCTAGTTTTGGTCTAGTATATTTCCTTTTTAGAAGTTAATATATGACTAGATTTTCAAAGTCACATTTGTTTGTTTACTTTATTCTCTATATGATTATATAATATTAACTGATCTATACTATAGAGTATATTCAAATCTCCAGTTTTTAAAAAAAGGAAACAAATTTTCTAATATTTTTATATTATATATTTTCTAAGGCTTCTTTTCTATTAAAAATTTTGTTCTTATGTTTTATTATCTGTATTTCCTTGTTCTCTTTTTTTTTCCTTAGTAACTCAAGTATAGTTTCCTAATAAAGTTTTTGAGTTATCTTAGTTTTTTCTTCTGCTTCAAAAATAGTCAAAATGATCGACAAAGAGAGTTTTTGTTTTATTTTTTATTGAGTCTAAGATCTAGTTCTTTTAAAATAAGATCTTCTATATTTTTTTAAATTCTTTAATAGATATAATATTTAACTAGATACTCCAGTATTTTTTCTTTTACAAAATATACTATATAAGTCTTGCTTTTATAGAGTATCAGATTTCTCTAATAATACTAGTTTTTTATTAGTAATAGCTTATTTATATACTTTATTCAAAAAATAAGTACTTTGCTTTTTTTGATACTTGTATACTTTTTTTTAAAAAAATTCTTTTAATATATCTTAAGTATTTTTCTAGTTAAGTTTATTAGTTGCTTACTATCTAATTTAGAGTTAAGTAGTAATCTAATACTACTTAAATCTGCTTAAGTACTTTTGTAAATAGTTACTATAATATTGTTTTTTTTTTTGCTTTTTTTTTTTACAAGTGACCTCTTTGGCCATATATTTTATTAAATTTATTATAATTAATTACAAGTAATGATTATAATGTATTTAACTAGATATGCAACTTTAGGACTAATTTATCCTTGAGATATACTTGACTAAGATTTTATAACCCATATTTATATTATTCTAGATTTTTGTTACACTATGACTTATCTGTTTAAGGTTTCTACTACATTCCCTGCATCTCCCATGCTTACACAAAGCTACTTCCCAATAGGTAGTTATCCATTACAGATATTTCAGCATCGTGATCCTCATAGTCACTTTCTAATTGAGTATTCTGGCTTAAAGATGTCTATTATTAGCATTTATATAATGCTGAGATACGAAAGCACTTATATTATGTCAAGTTATGTTCACATGCTATGTTTATACACCTTTTTGAGAACTCCCATATGTTGGTAAGTATAAGCTATATTTCGTAATCTGAAGATTACTCCTAACTAGGTTTGTAATACATAGTACTACTTCTAGCTTTCTTCAGAAGAGGTTGGTGTTTTAATGTTAGTATACCCTTGTGTACTTTGTTATATTGCTACTACTAGCTTAGTGCTTCTAGCTATTTTGGATTATTACATATCCTCAGTATATGAACTATCTACTCTGCAGCAAGAACCTACTTTTTTAAGTTTTTGTATTTGCCATAGGTATTCCATATTCAGTAAGGCCAATATCTTATCACTTAATCGTATCTTGTGTAATCACTGCTTCTCTTACTACTCAATTAATTATCATATAACCCTACTAAGCAATTCTATTATACCATATAACAATTTTAGTTCCTGCTATACTTTTGCCAATATGGACTTACTTTTTCACACTATTATGTAACCAACTTCTGTGACACTGATTGTTACACATAGTACCATCTCTCCACAAGATAGAGCTACTTCTAATAATTCCTATTCTGAACATCATACTTCACTTAGACTTTTTTATAAGGCTTCACATTTAACCATTGACTCCTTAAATAAGGTTACAGAGTATTTTTCACTTTCAGTCGGTCTTGAACCATTGACCTTGTCTGTAAAGGGTTGGCAACTTAACCACTAAGCTACAAGTACCAGACCCTACACTATAATATTGTTTATAAATAATCTTAATAGCTTTTTAACTAATTTGTTTTTCTATCTAGGTACTATACTTATTTTACCTATTGTTATATCTTAGATCTCTAGCAAATTACTTGACTAGAAACTTTATTTGTAAGCTTATTTGCTTTGTTATTCCATATATTTTTCTATAACTTTTAACTTTTTTTTTATTATTATTATTTATATTATAATGCAAATATAGATAAATTGTTTTAGTATAATTTAAATATTAAGATGATACTATTTATGACTAAGATTTTTCTATTTGTATTCATGTTTCTCTAAAAGTCATCAGATATGATATTATATTTCCTATTTTCTATGAATAACTAATTTAAATAATTGCTATTATCACTATTAGAAATAGAGAAGTTAGAAAAAACCTTTTTGATAAGAGATAAAAGTATTATAAAATATATGAGTAGAGTGAGTAGTTTTGTAAAAACCATTTTGTAATGAAAGTATCTATATTAGTTTGATATTGAGTTTGAATAGAAGTTCTTTTTAAAATAAGAGATAGTAGATTATATGTTTTGTTTTTTTTGATTTGTTTTATAATATTTCAAGAGTTTTCTTCATTGATTCCTTAGTTGCCAAATATCTGAGTAAAACTAGTTTAATATATTGTTACAAGTATCAGTCTTCTTAATACAATATAAGTAATATAAGACATAGAAGAGAGGCTATCAATAGTGTCCAAGTAGAATATTACTTTACTGTGGTAGTTCGTTACAAAGTTAATGAAAGAGCAAAGATTATATTTTATTTAGAATATATATCAATAATATAAGACTATCTATTAGTTTCTGTGCTAAGAGAATTCTAATATTAAGAAGATTGCAGAGGTCAAACCTAATCTGAGGCAAAGAGAAAAAGAAGGGTTTATATAGCTTTTTATAATTAAGAATAAGAACAGTAAAAATAGTAAAAATAGTAAAAATAGTAAGAATAGTAAGAACAATAAGAATGGTAAGAACAGTAAAAACGGTAAGAATGGTAAAAACAGTAACTATTTCTTAGTTGTTTCTAAGACAACTCAAAAACTAAGAGTTTTACAGTTATGAATTATAGCTCATTTGAAAGATCTCTTCGAGCTAGATCTAATAGTAAAGTCTAAATCTATCTGTAACTACTAAATTACTTGTAAAAGCGATATAATAAATAAAGTATATTCAAGAAACTAACTATTTATAAAAAAGTTTTTTTTTTTAAACTACAAAGTTTTATTATTACATTTGCTACAAGCTATATTTATATTAAAATGTCTGTATTACAAATATTATATATTGTAACGTGTTTGTTATTACAACTATAATAATATATCAATTACCTACCCATCGAATACTTTATCTGTTGTTAATAACCAACCCTAAAAACTATAAATCATAAAGCAAATGCGTTAAGTAAAGCAGAAAAAAAAAAAAGATCAGACTTGATATGTTTATTTAGATACCTGCTCATAATTAATTAAAATCCAACCATCATTATCCGTATCATAACGTCGGAAGGCATCTGTAAGAGTCTTGACAGTCACGCATGATTGCTGTATAAAATAAAGTTTTTTTTTTTTTTTTAACAAAGTGCTCACATAATTCGTTCAAAATTCAAAGACTCAATATGTCATACCACGAAGTTATCAAAAGTCACGTCACCTCTTCCTATTATTATAGTGAACGCATTATATCAATTAATAATCTCTTAGAGTACGTAAATGGTCGTATACAAAATCCCCAAAATAATATATCAATTATGTACTATTTCCGGATGTGAACCACGGGTCTCTTTTAATAAATGGGTGCTGTCAGAAGAAAACCAAACTTTGGATTTTTATCAACTTGCTGGAATTATCTCTTGACAAATTTAATTAGCGGTGTATAATATATAATAATTAAACTACAAATCACTTGTCAAAGTCCTTATAAATGATAAATTCGAAGCCAAATATTTGGTTTTCTTTTGACTGTCGAATGCTGTTCTTTTTAAAAAAAAATCCAAAATGCCTTTAACCAGAGTCTAGTAGAGGTTTTAAATTATTAAAATGTAAAAGACCCGGACCTTGTATACGACCATTTCAATACTACCAATATAAAATAGAAATATGAATTACCATATTTATCATATTTTTTAAGAAGCAAATGAATAAAATTATCACTTAAATTATAACCAAACGTTCTTAACGCAGTTTTTAGTTCTTGAAAATTAATTGTGCCTGATCCATCAACATCAAATTTTTGAAAACATTTCTTCCAATCTTCAATATATCGCCAAAGTCCGACAAATTCAGAGAAGTCAATCGTTCCACTATTATCTTAAATATTAAGTAGTAATAGTCAGCATAAATAAAATTCAAATCACACTTAAGTGTTCAACACTAAAATATATTTTTAAGATATAACTTTCATTTTTAGAAATACAACCTATATGATGAAGCCAACTTTTTGAGTTGTTGCGCCATAACGATTTGTTAATTGAACGTAAATATGTACGTACCAGTATCAAACATATTCATCATTAATCGAACGGTTTCAATGTTAAACGGACTCCAATCACCTAGTAATGATTAGCAAAGTTAGAAAAGTCATCTATACCAAATTTTGTTAACGTAATGTTGAAACAGGTCAAAGGCCTCTCACGGATCGATTCACCACATTTGGTTTATTATTAACTAATTACAGTAGTTGAATTAATATTTAAAGACCCGCAGGCAGTCGGCCCATTTCAATAATATATTAAATCTTATGCATGCCATTAATCAAAGCCTTTTTTAATTCTTCAGTAGTTAAAGCTCCACTCTTATCGGTGTCTACAGCTTGGAACCAGTAATATAGTTGAGGATCAGGGCCAAGTGGAGGAATTGGTTGACTTTGTGGACGATCTAAAAATATAAATACGAGAATTTAATATTTGTAAAAATAATTTCGCTGCAAGTATTAATACAAACTTTTCGTGAGATCCTGGTATTGGTGCTGACTATACTGTGAAAGTGGAGCAGAATTTGGAGCAGGTTGAGAACTCTGTCGTGGTGGTAGTGGAGGACCAGTATTTTGAAGTGATTGAGGTCCATATCCACTTTGTCGTGGTGGTAGTGGAGGACCAGGAGTTTGAGGTGATTGAGGTCCATATCCGCTTTGTTGAGGTGGTCTTCCGTATACTTGTGGATTATAATAAGACATCCCTTGTAAGAACAACTTGTTAAACCGGTCGTGATATTTTTAGTGTATATATATGTCGTAAACCGGTTTACGTCATATTTTTATGACTCTTGTATTTAGAATCATCTGATTTGGTTTAATGTTCGAAGACAAGAATTTCCTGTTCTCTTGTTATAATTCTGGCTTAAACGTTACGTTAAGCGTTCAAAAAAGTATAAAAATTCCAAGCCGATTTTCCACTTTAGTAATTAGGTCATTAACGAGAGAGACTGTTCTATATTTGGAAAGACTGTTTCACTTTATTTTAAACTGTTTATGTCATGAAAGGTATTAATTGAAATATGAGGTTGAGTCAATAGAAATCAAGCAAATTTTTTCTAAGTAAATTTTTTTAAAACTTTAACCAACAATAACTTAAC